AGTAGCTGGGACTACAGGCATTCGCCACCATGCCCGGCTGATTTTTTCTCTATATATTAGTTGGCCGATTAATTTCTTTCTATTTTTAGTAGAGACGGGGTCTCGCTCTTGCTCAGGCTGGATTCGAACTCCTGACCTCAAGCAATCCACCCTTCTCAGCCTCCCAGAGTGCTGGGATTACAGGCGTGAGCCACTGCGCCCGGCCCATTCGTTTTTAAGTGGTTTTATGTCACGTGACTTTCGCGCCAATGAAATAAAATATAAATAAATAAATAAGCAAGCTCACACCAGCGAGAAGATAGAGGGTGGATTTTAAGGCGGCAAGAGGTGAGGAAGGACGTCCAGTTGGGAAGCTACTGCAGCAGTCCGAGCGAGAGATGGGGGTGCCTTAGAGTCTCACTCAGCTCACGCTGCTACAACAAAATGCCACAGACTCGGTGGCTTCAATAAATAGCAAGCGTTTATTTCTGACAGTTCTGGAGGCTGGAAGTCCAAGTTCGGGGCGTGGGCGTGGTTTGCTGCTGGTGAGGACTCTCTTCCTGGTTTGCAGACAGCTGCCCTCTAGCTGTGTCTCACTTGGAGGACAGAGAGAACATCTCCTGTCCCTTTTTATGGGGGCGCTAATCCCATCATGGGGCTCCACTGTCACGACCTAATGACCTTCCAAAGGCCCCACCTCCTTATACCATGACATTGGGGATTAAGGCTATGAATTTGGGGGAACACAAATGTTCATTCCGTAGCACTTAGCTAGGGTAGCACAGCGGGCGTGGAAACAGGTGGTGGGATTTGAGGTCTGGTTTGGAGGTTGAACCCTCAGGGCTTGCTAGAGAGGGAAGAGAGTGCAGGACTCCCAGGTGCTGGGCTAACTGGGTGGAGAGTGGTTCCACCCCGACTATATCTTCCAATTTAAAAACTTCGTGCAAGCACACACACACATGTGTACACACACACAAACATGAACCTCCCCTCCACATGTACACACCCACATAATTCACACAATGCACACAAATGCACGCACATGTAGACAGACCTGCGCATGACAGATACATGCACGCCCATGTGCATGTACAACCTGCACATGACAGATACATGCATGCCCATGTGTGTGCACACACACCTGCACATGACAGATACATGCATGCCCATGTGCATGTACACACCTGTGCATGACAGATACATGCATGCCCACGTGCACACAGACACCTGCACATGACAGATACATGCATGCCCATGTGCACACATACACCTGCACATGACAGGTACATGCATGCCCATGTGCACGTGCACACACCTGCACATGACAGATACATGCATGCCCATGTGCACGCACACACACCTGCTCATGAGATACATGCGTGCCCATGTGCATGCACACACCTGCACATGACAGATACATGCATGCCCACGTGCATTCACACACACCTGCACATGACAGATACATGCATGCCCATGTGCACACACACGCACATGCACACATGTACACAGACCACACACAGATGCACTCCACAAACATATGCACACACCTGCTAACACACACATGTACATGTACATGCCTGAACACACATGCACACAGATATAAGGTACCTGCGCACATGTACTTACATGTATGCACATGTACACATACCTGCACACACCTGAATACACACACCCTTATGCAAACAGCACACACATATGCCTACAGACTTGTGCACACACATGAATACACACATGTGCACACACACGCATACACACGTGTGCACACACACACACTCCTCACTCCACTCTTGTACTTTTCACTGCCCTTGTCGCCATCTAAACACCACATATTATTTTCTTATTGATTCGGTTTCTTGTCTCTCTCAACGCATCCGAATAGGCGCTCGCTCCATACAAGCGGGGCCTCGGTGCCCCGGTTCACTGCTGTGTCCTTGGAACCCGCAGCGGTGCGTGGCACACGCAGGAAGTCCTCAGTCAGTGTCTGGTGACCGAGTCAACGCAGCCGCGGCCAAGAAGGGAAAGCTGGGGCCTCCCCTCTGCGATCCACACCTGAGTCACATTGTCAGAAGCGGCTGGAAAGTGTGAGAGACACTGCGTGAGTGAGAGTGAGCCGGCGGGGTGGCGGGGACAGGAAGGAGAGGAGGCGAGTGGGGAAGGGGGTGGGGCCCGGCCCGGCTCTAAAGGCGCCCGGGGCCCAGGGCGCCGTCCGCAGCCGCTCGGCCGGGAGCGTTGGGCAACTTGGGTTTCCTCTGCGGCGGCGGAAGGGACCGGGTGCCAGCCCTGTCCCCGGGCGCTTGGGGCCGCGTCTGTTCGGGCATGGAGGAGACAGCCGTGCGGCCCTCGGTGTTCTCGGTGGAAGGACACACGGACATCCCGTTCAGGAGGCTGGGACGAAGCCGCGGGGGGCGGCCCTGCAGCGCGGCCCGCGTGGGCCTGGGTCTCCTGCTCTTCGCCATGGGGGCCGCGCTGGCCGTCCAGGGCTGGTTCCTGCTGCAGCTGCACTGGCGCCTGGCGGACACCGTGGGCCGCCTGCCGGTGAGTGCGGCCTGGGGCTGGCTTCCGTGTCATGTGTGTCCCTGCGTGTGTGTGTGTGTGTGTGTGTGTGTGTGTGTGGATGGGGCACGGACTAGGACCATCCACCTTGACCCTGAGTGGCTGCCGCCAGCCCAGGACAGGTGAATTCACCTCCCTGAGCCTCGGTCTCCTCCTCTACGAAACACAAGTGCCCACTTCATAGGGGCTGAAGTGCCCCAGGGCACGCGTGGGGCCCGGCGGTGGCTGGCCCACGGCCCGTGCTCACCCCATGGGAACCGGCACTCCGGCGTCCCCAGGATTGTTAGCTGTGCCCTCGCCCGTGTCACTGGGACTGTCTGTCGCTGATCCTCTTCCACCGTCCCAGCCTGTGGGAATCTCTCTGTCCGGCTGTTTCCGGCCGGCCCTAGAGGTGTCCGTCTGTCTGGGAGCCGTGCCCGTGGGTCTGCGTGTGCTCCGTGCCATGCCCATGTGGGCTGGCCCCTTTGGGTCTTGGGTCTTTATGTCACCGCGCCATGTGTCTGCGTCTGGTGGCCGCATGGACCCATGTGGTCACATGCTGGCGTCCCGGGTACATGTGACCACGTGTCCCCGTGTCCACCTGTCTCTGGCCTGGCGCTGTGGGGCTTGTCGCTGGTATCTGTGTCTGCGGATACAGGTGGATCCACAGACCACGTGCCCACGTGTTTGTTTCACTCCACGTGTGTCCGCTTGGCGTACCACGTACGTGTTGTGGCTGTGCCCTGTGTCCGGTGTCCGTATTCTTGGGCTGGGGTTCGTATGTCCAGCCATCTGGATGTCCAGGCATTTTTTTTTTTTTTTTGGAGACAAGAGTTTCACTGTGTTGTCCAGGCTGGAGGGCAGGGGCATGATGATCACAGCTCACTGCAGCCTCCAACCCCTGGCCTCAAGCGATCCTCCTACCTCAGCCTCCTGAGTAGCTGGGACTACAGGCATGTGCCACCACACCTGGCTAATTTTCTAATTTTTCGTAGAGATGGGGTCTTGCTATGTTGCCCAGGCTGGTCTCAAACTCCTGGCCTCAAGCGATCCTCCCCCTCGGCGTCCCAAAGTGCTGGGACTACAGGCGTGAGCTGCCACACCTGACCCTATTTTTAAAATACTCCTTATTTATTAAACCCTTCTATAGTGCATACTATGTGCCAGGGACACTAATACGCCCTACACATATTCCTGAAGTCCTAGGCAGACAGTATTCACAACTCCATTTACAGAGAGGGAAACTGAGGCACCGGGGGTTATGAGGCTGCTGGCGGGATGTGTGTTATGCGTGCACGTGGCCCTGTGTGCGTGTCTGACGGTGGAGTCTATGGCCACTGGCCATGTGTGCCAGTAATGCCGGGGCGTGGCCCCTGCCACGGGTTCTCACCGTGGGCTCTCTCTGCACTTTCAGGACGGAGACTCAGGCTCCTGGGAGCAGCTGATGCAAGGTGAGCCGGGGTCCCGGTCCCCAGGAGGGAGGTGGGGTGGTTCCCACGCTGCCCCCACCCCTCGGCATTGCCCAACGTGATTTGCACAACTGGCCCAAGCCCCACAGGTGCCCCTCCCCCAGGCCTGAGAAGCAGAAGTGTGGGTCACTCCGGAAGGGGTGGGGCTCACCCCGAGAGGTGGACGTGATGACCCCTCGGGAGGTGACCTTTGCTTCTAACCTCTGACCCTCTTTCCCCAGAGCGGAGGGCCCACCGTGTCAACCCGGCAGCACACCTCACAGGTGAGGGGGACCCTGGGTCCTGGTGCGGGGCAGGGGCAGGGTGTCCTGGGAAGATAGGACAGATGCCCCAACATGTCGGCATAGTCATTCATTCATTCACTCACTCATTCACTCATTAAATATATTTATTCACAGAGTTGCCCAGAGCACAGGCTCTGGGGGAGGGGGGAATAGGTATTTCTAATTTTATTTATTTACCTAACCCTTATACAGTGCTTACGAGGTGTCATGCACTGTCACACGCTTTATATATCTTAATCCTTTGGGGCATGGTGGCACACGCCTGTAATCCCAGCCCTTTGGGAGGCGGAGGCAAAGTTCCCGTCCTACCTCAGAGTTTTCATGGGGCAAAGGAAGGAGCGTGGCAGACTGAATGTGGGTCCGACAGGCTGAGACCTCAGAAGGTCCCATGCCACTGCCTATTACTACATGAGGCCGGGAGTTCGAGACCAGCCTGAGTAACATACTAAGACCCTGTCTCTACAAAAAAAAAAAAAAAAATTAAAATTAAAAACATTTAAATATAATGCACTAAACCCTAAGCAGGTACTATTCATGTCTCCATTCTACAGAGAGAGAAACTGAGGCACACAGAGGTTACGAGGCTTCTGGAACCCAGGTGTGTTCCACTCTGGTTGCTTGGTTCTGCCAACTTGCAAGTTTCGATTGTTTCTGGCAAGTCGCTTCATGGCTCCATGCCTCAGTTTCCCCCTTGGCAGAACGCGATACTTTGTTTTCCCGTGCCTCAGTTTCCCCACCTGCAAAAGGGGATGCAATGATTTAAGGCACACATACTGAGCGAGTGGCTTTGCTTCTCTGTGCCTCAGTTTCCCCGATCTGCAAAGCAGGGATAAAGCGAATTAAGACACACAAGCAGCCTAGCAGAGAGATGGAGGCTCAGAGAGGGTGCAGACCGGCCTAGGGTCACGCAGCAGGGGCAGGCCGTGTGCTGACCCGCGGCGCGCTTCGTCTCTCTCCCGCAGGGGCCAACTCCAGCCTGACGGGCAGCGGCGGCCCGCTGCTGTGGGAGACGCAGCTGGGCCTGGCCTTCCTCAGGGGCCTCCGCTACCGCGACGGGGCCCTGGTGACCACGGAGGCGGGCTACTACTACGTGTACTCCAAGGTGCAGCTGGGCGGCGTGGGCTGCCCCCCGGGGCTGGCCGGCGGCCTGCCCGTCACGCACGGCCTCTACAAGCGCACGCCGCGCTACCCCGAGGAGCTGGAGCTGCTGGTCAGCCGGCGGTCGCCCTGCGGGCGCGCGGCCAGCGCCCGCGTCTGGTGGGACAGCAGCTTCCTGGGCGGCGTGGTGCACCTGGAGGCCGGGGAGGAGGTGGTCGTCCGCGTGCCCGAGGAGCGCCTGGTGCGCCTGCGCGACGGCACGCGCTCCTACTTCGGGGCCTTCATGGTGTGAGCGCGCGGGCGCGGGGGCGGCGCGCGGAGACCCCGGCCCCTGTCTCCGGGCCACGGGAGCCCCAGAGAAGCTGAGGTCTGGGAGGGCCCCCGGGGGATCCAGAGCCCAGGAGGCCGAGAGCTCCGCGGGCACCTCGGGGGACCCAAGAACTCAGACACCCCGAGAGGCGGGAGACCCCCCGGACTGCAGACCCCGCCACGCACAGGACTCGACACGGAGCCCCGGGGACTTGGGGCCTGCAGGCCCCGCGCGGGGCAGAGCGGATTTGCCTGATATTCAGGAAGCACGGGGGAGGGGTGGGTATTTATACTTTTGATTCAGAGGAAAGAGGGACTTGGGCATCCAGGGGACAGTCGCCGTCCCCGCCCTCACAAGCACGAGCAGGGACTCACGCGGGCGGAGAGCCGGTCCCGCCCCACCACAGTCATGGTCATACCCTCGGGTCCCTCCCACGGACTGGGGGCCACACCTCGGCCTGGCCACAGAACCTTATGCTCGGAGACACGGGGCCCGGCGACATGCTTCTAGCTGTCGAGCCACCAGCTCTCCGGGGTGCCAGGAGCGGCTTCCCGGCGTTTGCCCGCCCATGTCCGTGGTGCAAATGCCGCCACCGTGGCCGGTCTCTGGGCACCCGCAGACCGCCAGCCGGCTGGCTGTGTCCCCTCGTTGCTACGCAGACGCGGCACAAGGACACCACGAGCCCAGCGCTCGCAGACTGAGAGGGAGGAAGGAGGGAGGAGCGGCCGCACAGTCCAGCCTGTGGCATCCCGCGGAATCTGTCGCCTGGCCACCTGGCGTCCCTTGCGGCCCACAATGACGGACTCACACAGGCAGAGCCTCGGACCCCGGCATAATCCCATGGAAGTCCCAGCACTGCGGAACAGTCACGGCGTTGCCCGGCAACCGTCTACCACTCAGCCACAGGGCTGTCACCGTCACACTTGGCAACGCTCATCCCAGCAGATGCGGACACGCCCATCACGGCCAGGCCCGGTGCCACACACGCCACATCACAATGATAAACACGCGACCACGTCCCATACACACACACACACACACACACACACACACACACACAGCCTCAGCGCTCCTCCCGGGCCAAGACGGACACGTCCTGGGGTTGGGACCAGACCTTGCTCGCCGCCCTGGGCCTCTTCACTGCTGGTCCCTGAAATAAATGGGGAACAACGGTCGCACCTGGATCTGTCTAGTTCTTAGGGGAAGACATCTGGGGTGGGATGCCAGGCCCAAAGAGCCCCGTGGGGAAGGGAAGAGGCAGGTAGGGAGGGGGGGGCGGCAGCCGGCAACAGGTGTTGGCTCTTAGAGGCAGAGTCATGGGTGCTCTGACCCACACAGGTCATTTTAGCAGGAGAGGAACCTGGATCTGGTTAGCCGGGGCTTAGATCCCTGCAGGAAATGTCGGGGGAAACCAAAGACCCCTCAAATTCACAACTCCTGAGGAAGCGGAAGCTACCCCCTGCAAGGCATCCTTACTGAGTGCCTGCAGGAAGGCGTGGCAGACCACCAAGCCAGTTGCAAGCCTGAGAGTTAAGTGGGGGGCGCAGGGGAAGCTGGGGTGGTGGGGGAGGGGCACATAATGATATGCATGCAAATCAGATGATCTATGCAAATGAGCAGGAGCACAATGTGGCTGAAGGGAGGTCTTGATTCCTAGGACTCCAGGATGAGGGCTTAGAGCCCAGAGGTGAGTGAACCGTCCTTATTGTTACTGTCGATATTAACAACGATGTTCTTGTCATGGGTCGCATGGTCGCTCGCAGGGTGAAGGAAACAGGCTTTGCGATCAGATGGTCCTGGGTCCCAAGTCCTCTCTGCCACCTACTGGCTGTCTGACCTTGAGCAAGTCCCACTACCTCTCAGTGCCTCAGTTTCCTCATCTGTAAAATGGGGGCAAGGGAGGGAATGTAACAAGAGTACAGGTTGGGCATCCCTAATCCAAAAATCGAAAATCCAAAATGCTCCAAAATATGGACTGTTTTTGAGCACCGACATGACGCCACAAGTGGAAAATTCCACACCTGACCTCCGGGGACAGGTTGCGGTTAAAATTCGGGCTCGCAACACACAGTTTTACCCAGTGTGCCCAAGAGCAAGCCCTCCTAGCTGGGCTCTGTCCTTCCTCACATGCCAGATACACATGTAGTGTCATTTGCTACTATGTACTGATGCGTAAATAAGCGTAAGCAAATGGTTATCAATACCTGATAAATTCCGAGTCGGGAATGATGGCTGTGCCACACAACCACAGATCATTCATGTGGGTGGCTGCAAGGGTGACACCTTTGCTTTCCATGGACACAAACTTTGCTTCGTGCACAAAATTATTACAAACAAGGCATGAGATTGCCTTCAGGCCCTATGAAATAAGGTGTATAGGAAGCATCAATATATTTTACGTTGGCCGGGCGAGGTGGCTCATGCCTGTAATCCTGGCACTCTAGGAGGTCGAGGCAGGCAGATCGCTCAAGGTCAGGAGTTCGAAACCAGCATGAGCAAGAGCGAGACACCCGTCTCTATTAAACATAGAAAGAAATTAATTGGCCAATAAAAATATATATAGAAAAAAGTTAGCCGGGCATGGTGGTGCACACCTGTAGTCCCAGCTACTCGGGAGGCTGAGGCAGGAGGATCGCCTGAGCCCAAGAGTTTGAGGCTGCAGTGATTTATGGTGACGCCACTGCACTCTAGCCTGGGCAACAGAGTGAGATTGTCTCAATAAATAAATAAATAAATAAGATCCAGCTTACTTCTGTCAACAGAGAAGGATCCAATCTCTGTGAAATAATTTAAAGAGGGTTATTCTGAGCCAAGTATGAGCGACCGTGGTCCGGAGTCACATTAGGGAAGCCTTAAGCAAGTGCTTGGGTTACAGTTTGTTTTTATACATTTCAGGGAGACAGGAATTACCCGTGAAGTCATAAATCCATACATGGAGCTTGTATGTTGGTTTGGCCTGTAAAGGCGGGGAGACATCTCGAAGTGGGGTGTGGGGGGATTACAGGTTACAGGTGGGTTGAAAGATTCTTTCATTTGTAACTGGTTAAAGAAATGAAGCTTTGTCTAAAGGCTTGGAGTGTTTGAAGTTAAGATAAGGAAGTCTGTTCGTCAGAGATAAGTCACTGGACTGTATACCTAGACTCACGAGATCTGGAGGGTAAATTGAGGACCTGCAGGTGCGGTTTAAGTTTTATCTTTGGTGGCCTTAGGCCTATTAGTGACTTACAAAGGACATCTCCAAGCAGGGAAGGGGGTATAATGAGGCAGGTCTGACCTCCCTTGTCATGGTCAGCAACTCAGCTTCAAGGTATTTCTGGGGTCCCCTTGACCAAGAAGGAGTCCATTCGGTTGACTGGGAGGCTTAAGACTTTATTTTAGTTCACATTTCACATTTGAGTTAACTACTTGGCCCCTGTAGGCATTTGAGTTTGCACCCTTGAAAGATAACAGGGATTGTGGTTGGAATGTGGGGATGTGAAGGGGACTGACATTTGATCTTTGAGTCGATAAGAGAGTGGGAGGGAAGAGAGCTCCAGTCTAAGGGAGCAGCCTGTGCAAAGGTCCTGAGGCAGGCAGAAGCTTGGAGACATCCAAGAATCGGACAGAACCAGAGTCTCTGGAGCTCAGGGGTAGTGAGGTGTGAGCAGTGGTCAGAGGGGTGAAGGGGGCGTGAGATGCAGGATTTTGTACAGGACATTAGGATTTCAAATTTTAACCCAAGTGTGACGGAAACCATTGGAAGATTTTTTAAAAAACTGTTAATGCCCAGAGACTTTAAAAAATTATTAGGGCAATTTATGAGCATGCACAGAAAGGAGAGGAAAAGAGTCCAAAAACCAATTCCCAGATTCAGTAGTTTCACTCTTCTGCCCTGCTGACTTTTTTTTTTTTTTTTCCCCGGAGACAGAGTCTCACTCTCATTGCCCAGGCTAGAGTGAGTGCTGTGGCGTCAGCCTAGCTCACAGCAACCTCACACTCCTGGGCTCAAGCGATCCTCCTGCCTCAGCCTCCCGAGTAGCTGAGACTACAGGCATGCACCACCATGCCCGGATAATTTTTTCTATATATGTTTAGTTGGCCAATTAATTTCTTTCTATTTATAGTAGAGACGAAGTCTCGCTCTTGCTCAGGCTGGTCTCCAACTCCTGAGCTCGAGCAATCCACCCGCCTCGGCCTCCCAGAGTGCTGGGATTACAGGCGTGAGCCACCGTGCCCTGCCTGCCATGCTGACTTTATCAACTACCTCTTTTTAAATTTGATATCAATTCCGACATCATCTCATTTCACATCCTCCCCCGATATTTTGAATGCATCTCTAAGAGACAGAGGACATATATTTGCATGCATATGTGTGTATATGTACATATATGTTATATATGTATGTATATAAAATCATGCATCCATGATCACACTGAACAAAGTAACAAAATTCCCTTAATAACACCAATGATTCAGAGTCCAGCCCCACCCACGGAGCTTCCTGTGTCTTTTCCTCTCTCCCAGAATCAAACCCGACTCTGATCAAAGCTCATGTTCCAACCCCCAGTTTGCAACAGGAGTTGGCCAATCCCGCCCACCCCCAGTTTTTAAATGGTTGAAGAAAATCGGAAGAGGAATGATATTTCATAACATGTGAAAATCATACGCGACTCCAATTCCAGTGTCCCCAAAAAGTTTTATTGGTCCACAACCACCCCCAACGCATGTGTGTGTTGTCTGTGGCAGCTCTTGCATCTCAAAGGCAGAGCTGAGTAGTTGTATTATAGCGTGGGCTGCATGACTCACAATGCCAAAAATATTTAGTATCGGGCCATTTGCAGAAAATGCTTGCCAAGCTGTGATTTATAGGAAATATATACGATGACACCGCAAGGGTTTAGCAGCGTAACCCAGGACATCGGGAGATTCTACAGGGAAAACAACCTGGTGTCTTCAATGGTTTGGGTAAAAACAGGCACCAGGGGCCAGGTGTTATGGCTTACGCCTATAATCCCAGCACTCTGGGAGGCTGAGACAGGAGGATCCCTTGAGGCCAGGAGTTGGAGACCAGCCTGAGCAAGAGCAAGACTCCCATCTCTACAAAAAAAAAATAGCAAAGAAAAATTAGCTGGGCATGGTGGCACATGCCTGTAGTCCCAGCTACTCGGGAGGCTGAGGCAGGAGGATCGCTTGAGCCCAGGGGTTTGAGGTTGCTGTGAGCTAGGCTGACGCCACGGCTCTCTAACCCAGGCAACAGAGTGAGACTCTGTCTCAAAAAAAAAAAAACAAAAAAAACACTGGGAGGGAAGAGTGCAGGGGTCCTCAAACTTTTTAAACAGGGGGCCAGTTCACTGTCCCTCTGGCCATTGGAGAGTGGGGCGCACATTCCACACATGCGCACTGTGGGCCCAGGACGAGTCGGCTGCTAAGCAGGACAGGCAGCGGCGGCAAAAACACCCGGCGGGCGGGATAAATGTCCTCGGTGGGCGCATGTGGCCCGCGAGCCGTAGTTTGAGGACCCCTGGACCGTTAGGGTAAGGAGACAAACAGATAACCCACAGCTTATTCTACAAAGCGTTTCCTGGGTCCCATCCGTGTCCCATCCCTCCCATCCCCCCACTCCTGGGTCCCAGCCCTGATGACCACACGGAGTTGAGAGTATCTTGTCCCGCTGGGGGGCTCCTCCACCCAGCCCAGGGGATCCTCCAAGGAAGAGCCTGTAGAGGAGTTGTCTTGGGGTCCCCCGCACCTAGAGGGGAGTCCGGGAAAAAGGGTCTACAGGATTTCTGCAAAGGGGACAGAGCTCAGTGCTCTGAGACCATAGACGGCCGCACGAGGACCCAGAAGATTCCAACGCACAGGGTAGAAAGTCAGTCATAGGTCTAAGGCTGCAGTGGAGGGGGTGGTGACATGGCAGGGGTCACAGAGGAAAGTGAGGCAGGGCAAGGGACCTCATTGGCGCCAGAGTGAGGCATTGTGCCGTCACTGACGGGCAATTGGGGACCTTCACTGTCAACACCACTTCTCCGATGTTCGATGATCGGGGGATTCTGTGGCTAAACAAATAAATACTCAGCTTCCCTGTCCCCGGGGTGGGACAGCTCCCAGGCATGTGCCACCGTCCCTGTTGCACCAGGATGCTATCAGTCGATGGGGAACAATCTTCCACAGGCTTCTTTCCCAAGATCGTCAAAGT